ACTTTAAGCGACTTGAAGGATATAATTGGGTCATTAGATAATAAATGTAGTATCCATGAAACCTTGAATTCTAAAATGTTAAAACAAGTTTTTGAAACAGCTGGTCATGCAATTCTCAATTTAATCAATACATCGCTTCAGAATGGTCAATTGCCGGAATTATTAAAAATAAGTACTATCATACCTATACCTAAAGTTACAAACACTATAAAAGCAAGTGAATTTAGACCTATAAATACCTTACCGCCAATAGAGAAGGTTCTAGAAATAGCAGTATACAATCAATTACTAGAGTTTATAGACGAGAATCAAATTATGTTTATCAATCAATCTGGTTTTAGAAAGAAACATTCTTGTGAAACATCGCTACAATTATCGCTAACTAAATTTACTAATGAAACAGATAAAGGTAAATATGTTGTAGCTGTTTTTTTAGATTTAAAAAGGGCATTTGAAACGATTGATAGAAGTATACTGCTTCGGAAGCTGAGAAGGTATGGGATTGAGGGGAGGGTGTATGAATGGTTAAGTGATTATTTATCAAATAGGAAACAGAGAGTACGTGTTAATGATTATTTCTCATCATATACAATGAATCATACAGGAGTACCACAAGGTAGTGTACTTGGCCCCCTCTTATTCATTTTATATCTGAATGATATTCAATTATTTACAGATTGTGAGTTCATAAACTTATTTGCAGATGACACATTATTGGCATGTACTGGAGTAAATTCAGAAGAAACTGTCCTCAAAATGAATACAGTATTAGCAATGGTCGAAAAATACCTGAAGATCAATAAAATGAAACTAAACGTTGGAAAAACTAAAGCAATGATAATTACTACTAAATTCAAATATAATCAAATAAACACAAACAACATAAATATAAAAATGGAAAATGAACGTATAGAAATAGTAACATCAGTGAAGTATTTGGGGTTTCAACTTGATAATTGCTTAACTTTTGACGACCACTTTAAGTATATTGAAAAAAAGATTGCAAAAAAATTATATTTTTTCTCGAGAATCGCCTGTAACTTATCAACAGATACAAAAATTTTGGTATTTAAATCAATAATCCAACCCCATTTTGACTATTGTGCATCTATTTTATTCTCTTTTAATTTGAACAAAGTGCAACAAATGCAAAAACTACAAAATCGGGGAATGAGAATAATTTTAAAATGTAACAGGTATACACCAATTTTTACCATGCTATCTGCTCTACAATGGCTCTCAGTATCCCAAAGATTACTCTATTGTTCTATGGTGTTCATCTATAAAATATTAAATAAAATGACCCCACCATACTTGTTATCATTGATAACTTTCAATAAAGACATTCATCACCATTCAACCAGACACAACAGTCACATTCATATAAATAGAACAAATACAAGAAGTAGTATGTGCAATTTATTCTTCAAAGGTTTTGTCCTATTCAATAAATTGCCTGATTCAATTAAATCTTCTCCATCATTGAATGTTTTTAAGAATGAACTTTTGAAACATATCCAGGAACGACATTGAATATTTCTTTTGTCCAGTTTAAACACTATATGCATATATATATTGTTATTTGTATTATTAGTATAAATTTAGTTTATTGTACTAGATGTAAGTTAGCTAACCTGTATATTAGGGAATCCTATTTCAAATTCTAAATAAAATAAAAAAATGATTTTTGAATACAATTGCACCAATTTCCTCTGGACTGTTTTTATTCGCTATTGTATCAATGATTGTTTTCAATTCGATTCTGGTTAATAGTTTGAATTCAGTAAATTCATTATTGTTGTTATTACCAGACAGATTGAAATTGGTTGCATTATTTGGGATGCTACCAACAATTTCCTGTTTACTTTCAATATAATATTCATTAATTTTTTTTACTATGACTTACTTATCACTAACAACTTCATCCCCGAATTTTATTTTTGTTACATGATCTTTAGTTTTGGATGATATAATGCTTTACAATGTTTTCCACATTTCCTTCGAATCGCCCTTGCACATGTCAACTTTCTGGTTATAATAAGCATTTTTTTCCATTTTTAGTATACTCACAGCTCTATTTCTTTCATTTTTATAACACTCCCAGTCAACAAGATCTCAAGTGAATTTAAATCTTCTAAAACTCATGTCTCTATCCTGAATTGCTTGACGAATATTATCATTGAACCATTCTTTTTTGCAACCTCCTACCGTAATTTCCTTCTTAGGCATGAATTCATTTATTATAGTTTGCAATTGTTCAGTAAAATTGTTACATCTAACATTCAAGTCTTGTTCTCTATAATTATATTCCACTCTCGATAACCTATCATTGAATTCTGATACGTTTTTTAGTCTGCATCTAATGGTTACTTTTTTTAGAGGGCATTTATCTTGGATGTTTATTCGAATAACTCTATGATTTGAGAAAGTGCATTCATCTAGTACAGTAGTGTATAAATTAGACACATTTGTGAAAACTAAATCGATCATACTGCTTCCATTTCCCCAGAAATGTGTATCTGATTTGACAATTTGCCCTAAACCATTATCTTTAGTACATTGTTTCAATCTCCTGCTGTGAGTAGTTTCTGAATTCCAATCTATATTGAAATCTCCTACCATTATAAAATTCGAGCAGTTCACCTAATTTATCTAAAAAAACAAAATGTGATTCATTTGGTGAATGGTAAATTCCCATTAATGTGTAACTATTATTAGCAATCTTGACTTGAACCACAAAACACCACATATTCTTTTCAATAATGTAAGTCCCAACTTTGTTGTAAGTTACATCCAGCCTTATATAAAAAATTACCCCCCCTGTGTGTCTGCTTTGTGAATTAAGCTTTAATATCATATAGTTCTCAATAAACAACTCAATATTTTCTATATCCTCAGTAACGTGAGTCTCAGTTAGGCATACAACAGCAGGTTGATTTTTATCTATAAAATATTTGATTTCATCATAGTGACATACTAGACTTTGACTATTCATAAGGAATATGTCTGAACTCAAATATATTGATTGCTATTGCTTTCTGTTCCCTGTTATATCTCCATCTCTTTCTAGCGATTCAGTATAATTTATTTTTTCTTGAACTTCACTCACGATTCTTCTATAGGCTGCACAATCTCTGTTGTATGCTGTATGATCATAATTTATATTGGGAATCTTCAATATCTCTGATGCATATTTACAATTTACACAAGTTTGTTGATCTGCAGTGCAATTATCTGATTTATGTTTTCCTGAACATTTTGGACAAATGTCCCTATGCTTCGTTTTGCTGTCGGGCTGTGGTCTGTGGTTTATGAAATTTTGACATTAACGAGAAAAGATAATCAACTCCATGAAAATTCCTGTTTCGAAAATGAGAAAATTGAAGAGAAAGGTGAGATGGATACTGATTGAATCTGTTCAATTCATTCAGAACTGTGTCCCTATTCTCAAGGTAGAGTCAATGAAATAGTTTAGATGAATAATTTTCCATTCCAAACCTGAAAATAGCAGACACGGTTCTTGACAAAAATGTTCGCTTCGATTCTTGTAATTCTCCAGCATGAAGATAGCAACCAGAATTTCAGGATCAACCCAGGGTTTGTACGACCCCCAGGACTATTCAATAACATTGACCCCTGGTTTTTACTGTAGATACCGATGTGGGTATACTTCATGTACCTGTCTCTACTGTTGTTACCTAGACCTCTTATAAACTGAAATTATACAAGCAGGTGGAGTAAACCACCTCCTGCACAATCTGGCACCCGCGACCGACCCCTTCTTCCCGAAAAGTACCAGAGGAGTCTCTGTCCGAACAGCGCCAAAGTGAGGGCTCCATAAATAAGGGCACTTACAATAATGAAGTTGTGATTGATATTCTTATTTTTTTATATGTATTCGATGTGTTATAGACTCATCGACTGATGTAAACACAGAAGTGTGGAAACAAATGAATATTCATCCATCGATCTATCTATAACTTCCCAATTGTCATCTGAATAATGTTTAATCAAAATAACAGTGAGGGATCACGGAATAATTCGATGTAACAGACCGAATCAATCTTAAATAATTTCACTCATGAGATCTATATAATACGACTATATCATGGCCGTTATATGTATATAATATATACCTATTCGATGTTCCAAATCTTATTGACGAATAGAAACACGAAAGTGTGAGAACATAAAAGAATATCTATCTATCTATCAATAACTTTTCAATCGTCATATAATTACCATGGAATCCAAATAACAGTATGGGATTTCAAAAATCAATGTTACATACGGAATCATCCTAAAATATTAGATCGGTTTTTTTTTCATTCGGTGAAATATTTTTCCTTGACATTGATGGAGAATGGTAATATCCGAATTCTACGATGAAATTATCAGTTTCGTCTCATATACTATTCAATGTGGGTACCACGCTTTCCATCTAGGTTTTGTAGCATATTTCATTTTCCTATCTCCAATACAGTGCATCATTTCAATTTTCCCATTTCTACTATGTGTTTATGAGGTTCCTAGTGTAGATATATTTTTTTAACGTTCAAGCAATTCAAAAAAGGGATTCTCCGTTTCATTCAAATTTGATTCTGTTATATGTGTGATTATTCATAATGCTAATTGTATACACCTGTAAATGGGCTTTTGGGCCTGCTGGATATATTGTATCAATGAATAACATTGATTGTGATTTTCACACCTCCGTGTATATCAGGTACCGAATATCATGATTTAGAATCACTGGTAACTTATATAATCAAAAAACTGCATCAAGGGACCAACCTTCAAAGAACTGTAGCGCCCTTAGGATGCATTTTCGGGCACATGTTGATAGAAACATATTCTCTTGTTTTCATCTGTAGATCAATTTTCCTGAGTATACGAACGTAATTTTCTGACACTCTTCATGAGATTGATTGAAAAACATGCAATGAATACATAAAAATCTCATTTCTGTTTCGAATGGAAAACTCGACGTGTTAACTTACTGGAATAAGAAAATGGAAGTCCATCCGTCCATTTGAAATCTCCTTCGTGACTTTCATCCGATGCTCCGATCCAATATGCATTATCATCTCGATAACCTGGACTGCAACAAACAACAAAATGATCTTCAAATATCTACGATATGAAAAGATTCACTTATCAATTCGTTACAAATGTGTGGGTACATTGTATCCGTATAAACAAACGAACTCTGGATATCATACTATCTACGTACTTATTTGATACATTTTGATATATTTCAATAATTATGTCATGTGCACAGAGCTTCATAGTATGAGTACTGTTTTGTTATTCATTCTCTCATAACCTTACATGAACTGTTCCAATGAATCAGTCCAAAAATTTGTGTCGGTGTGTGAGGTGTGCGTTTTGAGTAAAACAGTCGCGAAAACAAGCACACGGCTACTCGAGCGGATTGCAAGAAATGCAGGAAGAACTGAGGAAAATGGAGAAGCACTTATCAGAAAATGATTAACCTTTGGAAAACACAGAATAGCTTATTACAGCTCTAGGGGGACTATAATGAAGATGGGCACCATATACCTATCATAGGTATAATGTCAATGGTATAATGTTATTCGGTGACATTGGGCACCAAATACCTTTACCAATTATCAAATTTTTGTAATTGTTATTATCAAAGTATCAAATGTTATTCGGTGATATTGGGCACAATGTTTCAAGTTATTGGTGTCATTGGGCACCATGTCTCATGTTGATTGGTCACGGTGACGTTTGGTTCAGTGGTTTCGACCGCAGCAGAACCTCCGCGGGTCACAGTGGCGCAGGTTCATAGAACCGCTCATTCTGACCTTGCACACTCACTATTAACAAATCTCGATTTTTCGAAGGAATCTGGTTCCTCTTCGAATGAAGGAATAATCTCCAGTTAGGCGGCATACTTAAGGCAGAAAATATCATCTGAAATTAGGAAGGACTTCGAAGAAAAATCCACTATATCGAATTGCCGGCATCAAATCCATCAAAAATTAGTGGAGAATTCAGAACTCTTATTCCAGAATGAATCGCAACCAGAATAGTTATTTGTTTAACTAGGCAGCAAAGTAATAGATTGACTGCCGAGGCTGAAATCATAGCCGAGCGTAGCGAGGCTAGGAATCCAGCTAAGGCAGTCAATCTACTTTGCTGCCGAGTTGAACATATGATTTTTTCTCCGATTGTTCATGATGATATAGGAGGATATTGTAATTGCAAATTATAACAATTCCCACAATCTCTTTATTCTTCCTGTAGTGTTTAATTAAAATGAAATTTGATAGAAATCGCAGTTGTCCATGATAATTATAGTTTGACAATTCATGAAAATTCTGACAGTTGTGCGAAAAAATATCGGTATATTTGAATTATTATATAATGGACAGTGATAGCGACCTGGAAGTACTTACACCCCCAGAAATAAGGGAGGTGGCAAAAAATATAGAGTTGAATTTGTTGCCGGAGAAGTCTCGAATGAAATATGAAGAAAATTATAAACGATTTATGGATTATTAATTTTGCTGATACATATCAATCAGCAAAGTAACCACTTTGCTGCCTAGGCAGCAAAGTACCCACTTTGCTGTCTAGGCAGGAAAAGTAATACTTTGCTGATTGATATGTGTCAGCAAAATTAATATTTGCTGCCAATCGGAGAAAAAAATATTTTTTCTATTTCAATTCAAGAGCAAGTAACGATGGAGCTTCCAGCTATCGATGAGGTATAAGATGGAGAGTTATACAAACCTGGGTATGAAGTAATTGTATCTACTGAGTGAATAGAGAAACTTGTTGATTCTGCTCAGATGTTCTCGAATGTGCATCATGCAATTTCGATAAAGTGAAGTACGGATAATACGAATATTATTCCCATTGTGAGTTGAGCTAGCTAGGCAGCATCAATACAATCGGAACAATTATTTTTTCAAGGTCAAAGCTCACCAGTCGTCAAGGAATGCAGTATTACTCGATTTTTTGAAGGTAGGAGTTTGTGGATATGAAATTCCTTCAAATGGGATGTTGATCGTTAGGAGTTACCTCGTGAAGGAACTGTATGAACAATTCGTATGCTACCCACATTTAAGTCGGCCGGTTGATTGACAATTTGTTACCGTCACTCAGACAATCAATAATTTTATGATTGTCATTTTTGTGTATGAGATCACTAGCACAAACTTCATTATCAATGAAACCAACGAGAAAATACAATACAGAGTTACTCAATCCACATATCACACACTCATTCATGGTCCTTCGAGCCGGATGCAATGTTCCTACAGTGATTAGTTCAAACCAACTGCAAACACGAAATCAAGAACTATTTTCTCCGTCGATCAGTTGAGATCGCATATTCAAGACAATTCATATCATCATCGATCAATAAAAGCAATGATCGAGAAGGAGTCAAGATAATCCAAAATCACTGCAAGAAGCATGCTGGAATCTGCATAGCACCTGCTGCACCATAGCTGAGCCTGCATATATATAAGCTTATCAATACCAAACAGTGAGTTCATTCCGATTTCAATATCCTCTCATTTCCTTATTCTTTTTGATGCATGCTTAATTCTTAGTTTGAGCTTGGCACAAAAAATTCAAATGTTTTGCTACCAACCTTCCAAGTGTTGGTTTCAATGGCTTCGATTAACTTCATACATCAATTAACACGACAGTGTCTTGCACCAAGTGATCGTTCAAATAATTACATACAGAGGGATGAGTGATTTTGACCCACATCGAAACGTCGAATCGAATGACCATATCGCACTCTCATCAAGAACCGATGATAATAGCATATGATGTTAACAGTGCCACCTCATTATCGTGATCAGGATCTTCAGGATGGGCGATTTCTCACATCCAGCAACACCGCAGCTTCTTGGACGAAGTGATCGTATGAAATAAATAAGCCTGAAAGAAGGGTGAAACATCCAAGAAAGGCAACAGGCTCGCAAATCACACACTTCCATCACGGCGCAACAGTTACAAAGAAATGTGAAAAAAACTGAATGATTCCGTAGTTATTCGAAATGAGAAAGAAGATGAATAGTATCAAGAAAATTGAGGAAACACACTCTCATAGATAATCAAACTCAAATGTAGAGATTAATTCTCGAAAAATCGTGGTGAAATCATGTTTAGAATATGAATAGATTGAAATCAATACACAAAATAAAACACATTAGCAGTTGATTATGAAAATACTGATCAAGAAGGTGCAAATATTATCTATCAGTTGTGTATTCATTTCACTCTATTCGTTTTTTGACCGTATCGTTATCACGCTTTTTGAGAGATCTTATCTACTTTGTGGTTCGTCTATCTATATAGGCCTGTTTTATTCGTTTCATCAAACTACCATCCATCATAATTTGTGCTTGCGTTATGGAGAAATTGATCTCCGAGAATGCGATGATATACTGAACCGCTGAGCTTGTCGCCTGAAGGATTATTATTCCTCTGACTCTTCTACTGCTCTCTACTATGCAATTGAACCATGATGAATATCGGAATAGAAGTCAATGAGTAACGCTTCATGGACATTCCGTAGGACGAATTGATACCAATGGAATTCGAATAATAAATATTGAATGATAAGGAGACCCGACATACCTGCTAATCGAAGGTGGATCGAAGGTGTCTGAATGTGATAAACTCATGAGTAGATGAGCCACAAAACAGGACTCGTGTTTATACGGAGAGGAATAGTTGGTTGCAAATACCAAAAGTTCAGTACAATAAGCGCCAATCACATACATGAAACTGTATCATATAGTTTCATAGTATTTTGTCGTGGTGATATTTGATGAACGTTGTGATTGGCGAATATTTCAATTAACGTTTGGTATCCATGACATCCGACTGCCATTCCTTTAAGTGAAGTGACAATAATGACGAATAATGGAGAATCATGGTACATTATGTATTGTTGAGTGATAAAATCTGAAGGAACTAAGATCAACTGATATTTTTTGCTTCGAGCAACTGAATAGAACCCTTTGCCTGCTGAACATTTTGTCAGAACATTGGAAGATAGCTATTCAAAATCATGCTCACCTGTTCCATTTTGACATTCGAATTCAACAACTCACCTGTTCATCAATAAATTATCCAACACTGTTTGATCCCTTTCACTCCTCAAACTAAGAAGATGTCCGTCCTTACGCGCACACTCTATTTCCGCCTGCCTCCACGGTAACTTCACCCCCTCCATCGCGGAAATACAAAACTGTCTCAGCTTAATCCATCCGAATTCGCATACCCCTACCACACTTTCAATCGGTTCAGCGTGATAGGACATGCGCATCGCGAAAGTCCCTGTTGATACAACTTGATCAGATAAAGGATTCCTAACAGTCACTTTGAGAACCTGAAAAAAAAACAAAGATGTGTAGGAGATGGTTCTAGTGTCTAGAGAAAGGACGCAACAAACTAAGCGCGAGAGAAGCGACTAGCGTCGCAGGGCGGCGCGGGACACGTAGCAAAATGATAATTATTATAGGTAGGTGGATAGCTCAAATACCTGAAACTGATCAGTGAACTCTAATGTTAGGACAAAAAATATCTTCCCAAGGAAAAATAAGATTTTTTCCTGACAATTCAAGCCAGCTCTGCCCGTACGGACCTTCATCTTGGTGAAGCATAATGTCATTTTCGCATAAGAAATGAGACTTCCTTCTATCAATCTAACCTCATTATTCCAAATTTTTTGGAATTTTCTCTCCTCGTTTCTATAAAATAAAAATATGAATATTATTTCAATATACGTGTAGTAAGAACAAATCAGATGATTCGCCCCAAAATGTCACTGCGTTTAAAGAATTTTCCTATCAGAGAGCCTAAAAGAAAAATTCACTAGCTTGTCAGTGACAATTTGTATTGAAAAATTTTTGGAGAAGAGAAATAAAAGTATATAGAGAAAATATCAAATTTTTACTTATCTTTGGACGTTTCGGGACCGATTCTGCTCCCGTTTTCAACATAAAGAGATTTTTTCAATTCGAAGCTTTTCAGTTTTCAATGACAATTGGTGATTCTGCCATCTTGAATGGTCCGTCATATTGGATTTAGAATGACAACGCATAATTTTCTGAGTTATTACCATCAAGCCTTGGCTAGCTGGACGCATACCTCCCGCGCTGTATCGTTCTCACACTACGTGCTTTATTTGTTGTGTTACGTCTCTAGACTCTTCTGAAAGTTGTGCATCTTTCATCATCACCCCAACTCTCTTACTTGTTCCTCAAGTTGAATATGAAAGCGAGCCAAACGCATATATATTATGATTTTTCCACGTTTGTATGCTCGTATTTTCATTATAAAGGAGATAACGACAAATGAAATAGGGAAAAAAACAGTGTACTATTCACGAAACTCATTTCCAATAATAACAAACGAAAGTTTTTCAATCAACCCCAGAAAATGTATACATTCTCCATGATGAAAATTCCTCACTAAAGTTTGATCAAGACTCAGAATCTAATGAAATAATCCGCAGATTCAGTAACAATAACTCATTTTCAACTCACCACTCTATTTTGTCTGGAGACTAATTCTATCTGCCTTTCTTCATGACCAATCTTCGTGCAATGGAACCACGAAGATGAACCGTCTTGCAGCTCTGTTAACAGTCCCTCACAATTAATATCGTCATTCCGAGAATCCTGGAAGTTGATACCGGTGCCTGAAGAGCCTGGAAAATTATGATCGCTGCATTGTTTTTAAGACAAGCTGCATTTTCATTTTGCATTTTCATTTCGTCATTTCGTGATCTCGTCATCTTGTCATCTCATCATCTCGTCATCGAGTCATTTCGTCAACTAGTTATCTCGTCATCTCGTCATCTCGTCATCTCGTCATCTCGTCATCTCGTCATCTCGTCATCTCGTCATCTCGCCATCTCGCCATCTCGTCATCTCGTCATCTCGTCATCTCTTCATCTCGCATCTCGTCATCGAGTCATTTCGTCAACTAGTTATCTCGTCATCTCGTCACCTCTTCATCTCGTCATCTCGTCATCTCGTCATCTCGTCATCTCGTCATCTCGTCATCTCGTCATCTCGTCATCTCGTCATCTCGTCATCTCGTCATCTCGTCATCTCGTCATCTCGTCATCTCGTCATCTCGTCATCTCGTCATCTCGTCATCTCGTCATCTCGTCATCTCGTCATCTCGTCGTCTCGTCGTCTCGTCATCTCGTCATGTCGTCATCTCGTCATCTCGTTATTTCGTCATCTCGTCATCTCGTCATCTCGTCATCTCGTCATCTCGTCATCTCGTCATCTCGTCATCTCGTCATCTCGTCATCTCGTCAATTTCGTCATCTCGTCATCTCGTAATCTCGTCATCTCGTCATCTCGTAATCTCGTCATCTCGTCATCTCGTCATCTCGTCATCTCGTCATCTCGTCATCCCGTCATCTCGTCATCTCGTCATCTCGTCATCTCGTCATCTCGTCATCTCGTTATCTCGTCATCTCGTCATCTCGTCATCTCGTCATCTCGTCATCTCGTCATCTCGTCATCTCGTCATCTCGTCATCTCGTCATCTCGCCATCTAGTCATCTCGTCATCTCGTCATCTCGCCATCTCGTCATCTCGTCATTTCGTCATCTCGTCATCTCGTCATCTCGTCATCTCGTCATCTCGTCATCTCGTCATCTCGTCATCTCGTCATCTCGTCATCTCGTCATCTCGTCATCTCGTCATCTCGTCATCTCGTCATCTCGTCATCTCGTCATCTCGTCATCTCGTCATCTCGTCATCTCGTCATCTCGTCATCTCGTCATCTCGTCATCTCGTCATCTCGTCATCTCGTCATCTCGTCATCTCGTCATCTCGTCATCTCGTCATCTCGTCATCTCGTCATCTCGTCATGTTGTCATCTCGTCATTCCGACATCTTGTCATCTCGTCATCATCAAAGTTATATCCGTTAATATTACCTGCGACAGTAGTGTCCCCTACCCACATCTTCAAAACAACTCTATTTCCATAAGGCAGAAATATCTTGTAGGTACACTGGAGCTGACTGTTCGGACGTAATTCGAATGATCCATTGGTTGATAGGAAAGTGACGTTGTAACAGTGGTCGACAAGTCGGTATGCGATAGCAAAAACTGGATTTCCACGTAAGTGCATCGCCGGCTGGATATGCGAAGACGGGAAGTAAATGTGTCGTTCTTCTTCTGAGAGTTCTTCAAGTTTACCGCACAGGGGAGTTTGCTTGTGACTCTTGACATAGACTAGAAGAAATAACATGATGAATGTTAACAAGATGTTATAACCTAGTACCAATATACAGGGTGTCCAGAAATTGCTATGACACAAAGCTACTAGGTACGTGTAGATGAGGTCAAAATGAGTTGATGTACCCATTTTATTCATGTGTCGAAATGTACCGTTTGTTTGTGAGAAGGGTTCAAAGTGCACATGAAAGAACACATTTTTGAACGCTGTTCAGACATGAGTGAAATGCATTCGATGGAATTTGGCAAAAGTGTATTTCAGAGGATTACTTACCTCTTGAAAATTAAGGAAACCTAGGAGAAATTGTTAAAGGGTCAAAACCACCCTGACACACTGATATTTTTGCCAGCCTCTTTTAAGAGGTCATGAAACGAATCTAAAATTTTGTGACCTTGAAGACTAATCGATAACCTCCATTTCATTACTCTAGTAGAAATTTTGTATATAGCATAGTTTCGAAGAGAAAAAAAATTCTCTCAAATAATGCTACCAGATATTCCCATAGTACAATTTTAATTGAATTGTGATATTAAACTCATTTGGCAGTGGAGGAGAGGGCAGTTCGTGCTTTTGACAGGAAACAAAGTCATCGTCCTGCAAGTTCATTGTTGAGACGTTGTCTGTGAATGTTTCAATGAATTATTCAATTATGTTATCACTGCGAGTATTATTACCGACCTATTATCATTTGATTGTTGTTTTTACATTGAGTGCTATCAAATATGGATCTCTTATGATGAGCAGACCAATATGATCGCAATTCTTGAATTTTGTCAAGGTAACTGTCGCAGAAGTGCCCGCGTAGAAAGGTATCCAAACCAGAGAATTCCGGATCATAAAACTTTTGACCGAATTGAGAGACGTCTTCGTGAAACATAGATGTTGGAACGAGTTCAATGACCTAATACTAAAGAAACTGTTCGTGTAATAATCAATGACAATTCCGAGATGAGTGCCAGAAGACAGACGACAGACGACAGACGACAGACGACAGACGACAGACGACAGACGACAGACGACAGACGACAGACGACAGACGACAGACGACAGACGACAGACGACAGACGACAGACGACAGACGACAGACGACAGACGACAGACGACAGACGACAGACGACAGACGACAGACGACAGACGACAGACGACAGACGACAGACGACAGACGACAGACGACAGACGACAGACGACAGACGACAGACGACAGACGACAGACGACAGACGACAGACGACAGACGACAGACGACAGACGACAGACGACAGACGACAGACGACAGACGACAGACGACAGACGACAGACGACAGACGACAGACGACAGACGACAGACGACAGACGACAGACGACAGACGACAGACGACAGACGACAGACGACAGACGACAGACGACAGACGACAGACGACAGACGACAGACGACAGACGACAGACGACAGACGACAGACGACAGACGACAGACGACAGACGACAGACGACAGACGACAGACGACAGACGACAGACGACAGACGACAGACGACAGACGACAGACGACAGACGACAGACGACAGACGACAGACGACAGACGACAGACGACAGACGACAGACGACAGACGACAGACGACAGACGACAGACGACAGACGACAGACGACAGACGACAGACGACAGACGACAGACGACAGACGACAGACGACAGACGACAGACGACAGACGACAGACGACAGACGACAGACGACAGACGACAGACGACAGACGACAGACGACAGACGACAGACGACAGACGACAGACGACAGACGACAGACGACAGACGACAGACGACAGACGACAGACGACAGACGACAGACGACAGACGACAGACGACAGACGACAGACGACAGACGACAGACGACAGACGACAGACGACAGACGACAGACGACAGACGACAGACGACAGACGACAGACGACAGACGACAGACGACAGACGACAGACGACAGACGACAGACGACAGACGACAGACGACAGACGACAGACGACAGACGACAGACGACAGACGACAGACGACAGACGACAGACGACAGACGACAGACGACAGACGACAGACGACAGACGACAGACGACAGACGACAGACGACAGACGACAGACGACAGACGACAGACGACAGACGACAGACGACAGACGACAGACGACAGACGACAGACGACAGACGACAGACGACAGACGACAGACGACAGACGACAGACGACAGACGACAGACGACAGACGACAGACGACAGACGACAGACGACAGACGACAGACGACAGACGACAGACGACAGACGACAGACGACAGACGACAGACGACAGACGACAGACGACAGACGACAGACGACAGACGACAGACGACAGACGACAGACGACAGACGACAGACGACAGACGACAGACGACAGACGACAGACGACAGACGACAGACGACAGACGACAGACGACAGACGACAGACGACAGACGACAGACGACAGACGACAGACGACAGACGACAGACGACAGACGACAGACGACAGACGACAGACGACAGACGACAGACGACAGACGACAGACGACAGACGACAGACGACAGACGACAGACGACAGACGACAGACGACAGACGACAGACGACAGACGACAGACGACAGACGACAGACGACAGACGACAGACGACAGACGACAGACGACAGACGACAGACGACAGACGACAGACGACAGACGACAGACGACAGACGACAGACGACAGACGACAGACGACAGACGACAGACGACAGACGACAGACGACAGACGACAGACGACAGACGACAGACGACAGACGACAGACGACAGACGACAGACGACAGACGACAGACGACAGACGACAGACGACAGACGACAGACGACAGACGACAGACGACAGACGACAGACGACAGACGACAGACGACAGACGACAGACGACAGACGACAGACGACAGACGACAGACGACAGACGACAGACGACAGACGACAGACGACAGACGACAGACGACAGACGACAGACGACAGACGACAGACGACAGACGACAGACGACAGACGACAGACGACAGACGACAGACGACAGACGACAGACGACAGACGACAGACGACAGACGACAGACGACAGACGACAGACGACAGACGACAGACGACAGACGACAGACGACAGACGACAGACGACAGACGACAGACGACAGACGACAGACGACAGACGACAGACGACATGATAACATCATTTTCAATTGATATCACTTGCTCACTCGAATCTATCGAATGATGGCGCAGAGAACGATTCCAGAATACTCCATGAAAGGGGGCAGAACTGAGGTGTTATTCGATCTGAAACCAGATTGCATCGTCGGTAAAATACTATAATTACGGAGGTGATCTCGGAGCTGATGAACGATTGATTTCTCTAGAATTTTGGAAAGGAATGGGAGTAAACTGATAGGCCGTAAGTCTTCGAAAGCCTTGGGTTCTTTAACTTTTGCTAGTGGAATGACAATCGATTGCTTCCAAATTTCAGGAAAAACTTTCTTTTCCAGGCAGAAATTAATAATATGTGATATAACAGGTAACAATGAAGGACAACAAAGGTTTATGAGAAACTTATCCAAGTCATCAATTCCTTTAGAGTTACTCTTGATTTCGGACATGTAAGATAGAAGCTGATTTTCTGTTATCAAAGTGAATTCTAGAGGTTCTATGACTGAATCATTTATATTACTTTTATAGAATTCATCAAGATCTGAATCTATTCTGTAACCAAGTTGGGTAGACGAGACAAAAAAGTTATTTATTTCAGTAACATTGCTCAAGTGTTCAGGAAGATTCGATGATTTGGGTTTACTATGTATATTTAATTTTTTCAATTTGTTCCATAAATCATTGGATTTGTTGACATTCGTAGTTATATGTTCCATATAAGCTCTTCTTTCGCGTTCAATAGCTGACTTCGTGTAGTTTCTAAGTGTTTTATAGTAATCCCAATGCTCGACTCTTCCCGTTCTTTTGAATTTATTCCGGGCCTCATCTCTTGAATTCATCATAAGTTTGACGTTATCGGTGATCCACGGGGTGTAGGGTTTGTTGAAGTTTCTCGTGATATATGGAGCATGTTTATCGAATACGGAGTGTATGTGGAAATAGAAGTAATCAATTTTATCATCAATATCGTCTATAAAGTACATAGGAATCCAAGGTAGCGAATTCAAATCGTTGGAAAAGTGTTCAATATTGAAGTTTCTGAAGTTGCGAAAAGTTTTTAGGGTTTGGATCACATTTCTCGAGCCCTACATCACAATAAACCAAAAAGTGGTCCGTAAGATGATGTAAATCTAGCGTTCCCCAAACATCAAGTTTTGAATTGTCATGAACGATAATATAGTCCAATAAGGATGATGAAGTCTGTGTAACTCTGGTTGGAGATTCAATTATTTGTTTCAGTTCATAGGTATCAAAAATATCACTGAGTAGGGTATAGTTCTTATCTAAAATATCTAAACCGTTAATGTTGAAATCGCCCATACATATGATATTGTCTGATTGAGGAGCCATTATAGAGAGGCTCTCTTCGAATTCACTTAGGAATTCGGGGATATTCGAGCTTGGAGGTCTGTAGATGACACCAACAATATAATTAGTTGTTCCATGTTTGATATTCACCCATAGCTGTTCCACATTGTTAGAGATTTCAGTTATCAAAATACTGTAACGATATGGTTTTCTGAGGAAGATTCCTACTCCCCCTCCTCTGGTATCCCTAGCTAAGTGGAAGAATTTGTAATTAGGTATTTGAAACATAGATACATCACTATTGGGTCTCAACCACGTTTCAGATACTGCCAGTAGATTATACTCTTTCGAGATTACCAAATCGCGTAAATCATTGAAACCAGTAAATAAAGAGCGTATATTTATATGGGCAAGCTTCATCATGAATAAGTGAACCTTTTATGTTATTATTTATTTTTGTTTAATTAAGTAAGTAATAGTTATCAATTTTCGAAAAGTTACATGAAAAATATGGAGAACTGATAAAGA